GCCTCGCCAACTACTTGCTCAAGTATAGCGCAAATTATGCGGAAATGGCACGGCCATTGTTGAATCTCCTTATTAAGGATTGCGGTATGGTGTTGAGACGCCGAGCATCGGGAGGCTTTCGACGGGGTCAACGACAGCCTCCTTCTGGCGTTGCCAGACCCTATCGTCTTTTTGGTGTCGTCTGTGGCGCTTCGGACTTTGCCACCGGCTGTGCACTGTTACAAGCAGACACCGAAGGGCGAGATTAGGTGATTGCGCTCGCATTCCGCCAGCTTAAAGCTTCGGAGAGGAAATATACAGTCCACGACAAGGTATTTATTGCGAAGAATTATGCACTTGTCAAGTTCGAGGTTTACCTACCGGGCTCAAAGCCGTTGGTGATCTATAAAAATCATGCGTCACTACGAACAAAGACACAGTCACATTCTCTCGCGGAGGATGGTCAGGTGGCTCTCCTTCTTTGCAGAATATAAATTCGAGGTGAAGTATAAGCCAGGAAAGCGGAATAACCTAGGCTGATGCGCTGTCACACAGACTGGATTATGAGCTTACTCATGTCACGACGGTGACATCGTCAGTGACGGATTTGATCCGCACCGCGTACGCAAATGACAGTATGTGTGTAGCGCTACTACAGGGTCCCGAGGGCAAGGAGTTTGGAAACTCGGACAAGAAAGTGTTGGTGCGGATGCGCGCGTGGATACATTGATATTTTTTGAATAACTGATTGCTCTATTGTAACCCCGATTTGATGGATACGACACGTGGTTCTTCTCGATGAGGAAGTGAAATATTGTATCAGCTATGAGGCCCCAAACACTCCACTCAGTGGTCATCTCGATCGTGAGATGACGTACAGTGTGAGCTACCACTACTGGTGGCCCAACTATAGAAATGGACTGGCACATCTGTGCGCACGTATGAGACGTGTCAGAAGGTGAAACCAACTTCAAATGCGGCGGCGTCGCTCGCCAGTTTTTCAGTACCAACCGGTATTGGCAGTCCATGTGTATGGACTTTGTGTTTTGGCCTGCCAAAAGACTCGGCAGACAACACGGGTGTGATGGTTCTTTGTAGACCGTTTGAGCAAGATGGCTCAATTTGCGGTAGTGCCGGATACCATCGATGGTGTGGGTACAGCGACGCTAATTGTGGTCCAAGTCTTTCGACAATATGGACACCGGAGTCAGATGTTTCTGACAGAGACCACGCTTCACTGGGAACTTTTGATCTACACTTTTCAGAAGGCTGGGCACCAAGTTGATTATCTTGACAGCGGACCATCCTAAACCGTTGGTCAAACTGAGCGCGTGAATCGAGTCGTTGAAGACGTTTCTTGTAGCGTCTGTCCTTAGACGCCGAAGCGCTGGACTGCCATGCTGCCACTTGCAAAGTTTGCTCTGAACAATGCAGTGCATTCATCTACCGGCTACACGACGTTCTACGTGAATGGGCTTGTCAATCGTCGCATCCCACTGACACCGCCATTCCATGGCTTAGGGTTTGGTGGAGGAGGAATAGCCGAACGGCTAGCTAATGTCAGCCCCTCACTGTCCGTAAAGAAGTCGATGACTTCCTTTAAACCAGACTTAGTGCCTTACGACTCGTTCGCGATGTGATGGCTGAAAGCCAAGACATGTAGAAAGAATGCGCAGATGAAAGAAGCAGATAGACGAATCAGAAGAAATGTGAAAAACTTTGAGGTCGGAGCCCTTTTTATTAAATGCTAACACCTTCCTACACATGCAGCCTCTGCTGTCTATAAGACAGAGCTCCATCCAAGATTTATTGGATCTTTTAAGTTTGTGGCCAAACTAGGCCTTGCGTATACGCTGAACCTTTCGAGATGGACGCGCACCCTCCCGGTGTTTTATGTGGGCTTGTTTAAGCCGTACCGGGATCCGGCGCTAACGTGTTGGTGCCAAAGGCGCTCGGCCACCTAGAATTGAACCAGACTCTGGTTTTTGAGCACGGAGAGCAACAATTTCCGTTATCAGCGACGCAAGGCACTCCACCGCCGCACGAAGTGACGTAGTTGTCTGCTCGACGGCTAGAAGTCGCTTCGACAGAGCGTGTCCTCGACGTGAGGCAGTCGGTGCACACAGTGCTCCAAGCTCTCAAGGTCTCCCGCGCAGCGGCATGCGCTCTTGGAATGATGCTCGGCAGAGTGCCGATGACGACGGACTTTATCCTCTATCGCGAGTCACCAGACGGCGATCGACCAAGTCGTCATCGTCCGCCGCCGACTCTTCTCGATGAAATTGGTGGTGTCCATTATCACGTGGAACGCTTTGTAGGTTGACGTCGTCGACAGGGTCAAGCCCGCGAAGTGGCGGAGATGCCCCAACTCCGAGAACTCATGGGGGCTTGAGGTGCCACTTCGGCAAGACTACCCAGACGTCGTAGACGCTAATGATCAGAAGGATCATAATG